TCCTAAAGGCATCAGGACAATTTTAATTTTACAGTTTCATCCCCAGGATCACATTTAATAAAGATTTTAAAAATGTTGGAACACCACCTGACAGAGCTCAAACAAAACAATATAATCATATCGCTGCCTACTGTGGTCTAAGGATGGGAGGAAGACATGAAGAAGGTGCTGCTGTTATTGCTTCTGACAGTGGAGTCATGAACAACCTGAAAAGCTCTGAAGCGTATCAGTACCTGCACGGTAATAAGGTCGGTAGTGTCATTTGTTAAAAGAGGTGAGACATGATCTTATTTACATTAAAGCAGATGTAGAGTCCACCTAAAGTCTAATCTCCCGGTGCTACAGAGTTGATGGAGAGAATGAATTGTCTACTACAGAGCAAAACTAACCCACAAAAATTCCTGAATGAACACTTTCATCCAGCTTCGCTGGGATTACTGCAGCTAGATACGAGAGGGAAAAAAGAGGGAAACAAAAACAACTCATGGAGGATCAAAGGTCCACCGTGGAGCAGAGAGGCCTGGAGCTGTCCTGACCATCTCACAGCTCCATGTGACAGAGTTTCTGCTCAGAGGCCCAATGGTGACATCAGATGGTAAAGCTAGCCTAAGAACCTTCTAGAAGCTGAGCTAACTAGCAGCAGCTATGTGAGCTCAGGTTTAGAGGTGACTATCGCGAGGTGAAGGGCGATAGAACTGAGTAATGACGCTGGTGACTCCGAACTTATAGAGTGAAGGCGGAGCCTGTCACCCGACGTTCAACGTCACTTCGTCACCAGTCTAAAGACGTGATTAGAGGTGGCTTCAGCCAGGCGCGCGAGGGTGCGCGTGTCCCAAATACAACTGTGTGTTGTACTGAGTGGAAATGACTGAAAAGGAACTGTAGCTGTCCCAGCAACTCATGAGGAAAACTCTGAACTGTGATTTCCTCCCCCGCAGCGCTCTGCTTGGCTCCTCACTGGCTGTCCCCTCCTCACACACACACACAGACACATTTTTTCTTCTATCCTCATGGGGACTTTGCATTGACTTTCATTTATTTACCAGTATTTTCTATTACCATTTGACCCTAAGCCTAGCCTACACTTTACATGGGATGTGAACGGGGCTTATGTCCCCATAAGAAACAGTGGGTCCTCACCAGGCTGTGCAGTTTGCTTCATCTCTAAAGAGATGCTGCTCTCTGAAGTTTATTGATTTATTACACTTACATATTACGCTTTTATAATTATTAGTTGTAAAATGGTCACCAGGCAATACTGTATTATCGGTTATCGCAATAATTTTTGAGACAATTAATCGCCCAGCAAAATTTGTTATTGTGACAGGCCTAATGCCTCTTGCTGATAACTTTAGCTGAATGGAAAATGCTCCGCTGCACCTTCCACGTTCCTTGCGCGCCGCGCAAAATGGACGTGACGCGACACAAGACCCCTAGAGGCGCGTCCACCATAGACTTTGCATGTAAACTGGCTGATCCTGCAGCTCAAAACGCTTTCGGTGTGAATCCACCATGAGTCCAATCCCACCATAAACAGTGTTGGTGGCGAACACCCCCACGCCTGAACATGGTGCCCGCCACAGACAATCCATGACGAGCACAGAAGCCCAACAACAAAACACAGCTCAGGCTCGGATCGGGTGGGCTGCTCCTCCCACCCACGCCTCTACAGGTCCCACTGCCATCACCTACGGGAGCGCCGAAGTCCCCCAGCAGAACGAGGGAGTACCCGCCAGGAGGGCTCTCCAGTACCCCCTCCAAGGACTCCAAAAAGGTCCCGAAGTCACACGAAAGTCCCCCCCACTGCCTCTCCGAACTCCCCTCATGCCTGGGTTTTTAGGCCTGCCTGCCTGCCTGCCTGCCTTCCTTCCTTCCTAAAAACCCAGGCATGGGGGGAGTTCGGAGGGGCCGTGTGGGGGACTTTCATGCGACTTCAGGGCCTTTTTGAAGTCCTTAGAGGGGGTGCTGGAGAGCGCTCCTGGTGGGGACTCCCTCGTTCTGCTGGGGGACTTCGGCGCTCCCGTAGGTGATGGCAGTGGGACCTGTAGAGGCGTAGGAGAGAGGAGCAGCCCACCTGATCCGAGCCTGAGCTGTGTTTTGTTGTTGGGCTTCTGTGCTCGTCATGGATTGTCTGTGGCGGGCACCATGTTCAGGCGTGGGGGTGTTTGCCACCAACACTGTTTATGGTGGGATTGGACTCATGGTGGATTCACACCGAAAGCGTTTTGAGCTGCAGGATCAGCCAGTTTACATGCAAAGTCTATGGTGGACGCACCTCTAGGGGGTCTTGTGTCGCGTCACGTCCATTTTGCGCGGCGCACAAGGAACGTGGAAGGTGCAGCGGAGCATTTTCCGTTCAGCTAAAGTTATCAGCAAGAGGCATTCACACTAGCATTTTCACCGGAAATGCTAGTGTGAATGCCTATTGCGGATAACTTTAACTTTTTCTTCTGCTTTTAACACTTTAAATATTCAGCATTACATTTAACATCCATCTAAAGAGAAAAAAAACCCAAGAAACCATCAAAACAAACAAATACATTAAAAATGACACATTTAAACGTTCATACGGTCTGAAGGTAGAGGCTTTTTTCTATTCTAATAGGACTGTGGCCTTGGCACAAAGTAGCTGTTTCACATGTAAGTTTAATACTTTTACACAGCTCATGTATTTTTTTATTAGGTCTGTCAGGACATCTTTATTTGCTCAACCAGTTTGTCCACAATGAGCAGTTTGTGTGTTCTGACCTGTTTGTGTAATCCACTGAATCCAGACGAGTTGTCTGTGTAGAGAAACTTTAGATGCTAACATTAACTTATGGAACAGGGATTGATGCCAACTTCAGGCAGCTAAAGTAGCTGTATGGAAAAGATAAATAATATTTTACAGAGAACATATTTTTTTTGGTAAGCCTTTATTGAATTTCTCAAAATTATGTACTTTTTCCACTTGTGTGCAGATTTGTTTAAACCACTGTTGCACTAAAACATTTTCTTTTACATTTCTTAAAAAGCTMAAGTCTCAGCACAACTGGGAGATTCCAACTCAAAATCAGACTTTAAATGTAGACACCCTTTTTGTCCTGAATGATTTGAATAAGTTTCTGACTATATTTTCATTTTACAGAACAGCAAACAATGGATTTTATTCACCCAGTTTAAATTTAAAGACCCAGCAGTTTGATTACAGCACTTAAATAACTGAAACTTTTCTGTTTTTAATAAGTTAAATACCAAATGTGGTTTTAAAACTGTAACACAAGGACTCTCAGTTCATACATCCTTGGACAATCCGATGGTAGCCGAGCTGTTAAAGTTCCTAAAGGCATCAGGACAATTTTAATTTTACAGTTTCATCCCCAGGATCACATTTAATAAAGTTTCATGAGAATGAAAAAAAAAAGATTTGATCAAGTTTCAGAACCTAGATTAGATGAGTCACCAGCAGCTACACAGATCAGAGATGATGCAAGTCTGGACAAAGTGCTAAAAAAATAACGTTTGTTGTCTCTGTTGTCCTGCGGAGCGTCCTCTGGTCATTTGGAGAAATGAGCAAACGGAGACTCTTCAGTCACTTTGCCCTGCAGAGGAGACAGGAACAAGTGGGGCATAAAAAGAAATAAAATGTATTTTTTGTAACACAATTAGCTTTAATTAACTCAACAGTTAAAATGAACCAGCTCAAATTTGATTGGATTTGCATTAAAATTGGCCTTGTTCCTTTTTGTTCTGTAACATGCAAATTATTTAGTTTTACCTTGCACCACATAAATAAATCAACTTAAAATAAATTCACATTGTTTTTATGAATGCAAACTGGAATAAGATAAATTTTGTAAATAAGAGCAAACAACAGTTATGCAGCACTACATGCATACATTTTGCCACAGGTTCCGTTTTTGAACAAAACTATTTTTCTTATGATTACTTTACCTGATTGCATGCACACTTAACAAAAATAAGCTGCAACTGTTCTAGAAAAGGTTTTACAGCAGCTGTGGCCACGTGGCCATAAAAATTTGCACCAACAAAAAATTTTATTAGGAAAACTTGTGTAACTTTATATTTTTATCACCTGCCACTGAAGGGGAAAGGGCGAACAATGTTTTTGCCTGCCTGCGTTTGTGAGCGTGTTCAATTGACTGCAACATTATAATGAAGGGGAGAGGTTCCCAAAGTTGGGGTCGGGACCCCACTGTGGGTTCTGAAACATCAGGGAGGGGTCTTGAAAATAATTTCAGAATTATTTACATTTAAAAATGACTACTAATAAGAATTACTTGCCTTAATTGTTGCAAAAAAAGTGAGTTATTGTACTTTAAAATGGGTTGAATTAGCATAATGAATATCGTTAGTCCATGTTTTTTTGACCTGAAAATGTTCATCACCCAAAAATGGTTGTCTCTGTTAATGTTATTTTGTAGGTTAAAATGTGAAAAGCTTGGAAAGCATTGATCTAATGGACAGATTTTTTTTTATGAAACTCCAAAAGTAAAACACTGGCTGTACATTAAGGTGTCCAACACAGCCAGCTGGCATTAGGAAACACAAAGTTGGCCAATTGTCTTTAGCAAAAATATATCTACAAATCTGTAAATTGTTACAGATATTGAGCTAAAATGTGGCGTGGCAGTAACTGAGAGTCCTCTTCAACAGATCAGGCACCGTCTCACAGTAGCACAAAACATCATTCATAAAACTGCTATAATTCAATTTTTCACTGTAGTTCACAAAGTCATCCCTCTGACAAAGTGCTATGTCAACATCTCTGGGAAAACCATCATGTTTTTTTTTTTGCACAATGAACAAGAAAAATCTCACTTGTTCACCTGAAATACAATCCTAAAACGAGGATGCTGACAGAGTCTGTTGATGATCTGATAAAAAAAAGTCTCTTTTTACAAAGAAAAGGCTCAGTCATCACATGTTCACCCCACATTATGCTCTGTGAGACCGACACAACAACAAGTCAGACTTCCTGTTTGCGTAAAAGAAAGAAACCACTGAGCTCATTGCGCTGCTGAAAGAACAAGGAAGACAATGCCATGTGTCGGCTGAAGTTTAAAATAACAGTATCACAGTTTCACTAACAGCATTAAGGAGAAGGGGGTCTCTGCACCAGTTGGAGTTTCTTGTTTAGTGGTCGTAGTCTGATAAAGACGTGACTGGTTGGATTGACTATTTGAAGAAAATGGGAGAAGGTTGGTCAAAACAGCCAGAAAGAACATATTTTTTTATATAAATATTAACTTTAGTCATGAATCAAGACAGGAAGGTGCTTCCTGCACAAAATTTTAAGTCAATAAACTGTTTACATTGTATACATTACGTTATAGTTCAATTCAAGGTAGTACATCGTCTACACTGGTCTAAGGACAGATTGTGCAAATTCAAAAAGGACTTGGATCAGACGTGTGATCGTTGTAAACAATCTCCTGCCACACTTCTYCACACATTCTGGTCCTGTCCAAAGCTACATGGATARTGGKAAGGCATCTTTGARACCTTTTCAGGACTATTTGGACGAACTGTTCATCCATCACCACTCATCTCTCTCTTTGGGGTGGCTCCAGCAGAGGCTTCCTTCAGTGAACATCAGAGGACGGTGTTAGCTTTCTGCTCTCTACTGGCTAGAAGACTTATTCTTCTCCGATGGGAGGATCCACATCCTCCAGTATATGGTCATTGGTTAAGAGAAGTTATGTCRTACATTCATTTAGAGAAGATTAGATATACTGTTAGAGGATCTGTAAAGAAATTCTTTGACATCTGGCAGCCATTTATGTCCTACGTGGAAAAAATTTCCMCAGATAACTTTGTGTAAAGGTCAAATATTGGTTCTTTGAACACAAACCTGTGTCTTGTATTGTCTAATATATGAGTACAAGATGTATTTATGTTTTGTTAGTAGATCCGGTATAGGTGGGGAGGGATGGGAGGGATTTTGGGTGTGTGTGTTTTGTTTTGTGTTTTTGTAAGTCTGTTCTTTTTTGTGGTTTGTTAAAAAATTAATAAAAAGACCTTGACCAAAAATAAATTGTTTACATTTTCACAAATTTTAATTGAGTCAGTGTTCTTTTAAACTGTACATAAAGCAGTTACATGTTCACAGTAATTTTACTATTACAATTACTTCTTTTAAAATTGCCCCATGAGACAAGTCAATCTGACCAATCATGATTTTGCCAAGCTCCGCCCACACCTAACCTCTACCTATTATCAAAACTCCACCCACAAGAACTCTGCCAACATGAAGATTTTTGCCCATGGTGTTTAGGGATAAACTCCACCCTAATGAACCCTGCCAGTCACAGTTAAGTTAATTTTTAAGTTTTATTTATTTATTTATAAAGCACCCTTCATACTAGAAGCAGCTCAAGGTGCTGTACAAAATTATGCACAATAAACTCATAAAAAAACTATACAACCCCCTCCAAAAAAAAAGGTAGTGATCCAGAAAGATGCAGTTCAAGGAATACATTTAAAAAGATGCGCCTTAAGCCAACTCTTAAAAACAGCAACATTCTCTGCAGCCCTCACATTCTCAGACAGACCACTCCACAGACGGGGGCCATAGTACAAGGGGCCGTGGTGGTTCATAGGATTAAGAGTTCAACCAGATAAGATGGTGCAAGACCTTTAAGACGTTTAAAAACCAATAAAAAGAACCTTAAAATCAATTCTAAGACAGACAGGGAGCCAGTGCAATATTTTAAAACAGGTGTAATATGAGCCTGCCTTCTGGTCTTGGTTAGCACACGAGCAGCAGAGTTTTGCAACAGCTGCAGACTAGACAGATTTTTCTTAGGAAGACTAAACGACTAGAAATAAAAGCATGTATCAAAATCTCAGTATTGACCAAGGACAGAAGAGGGTGGACTCTGGCTATATTTTTCAAATGATAAAATCCTGTTTTGACAGTCTGTTTAATAAGTGGAATAAAAGTCAGCTCAGAGTCAAAAAGAACCCCCAGACTTGTGACTTGTTTGGAAGGATGAAAAGACGCAGTCTGTAATTTAGAAATTATCATTTCATTTTGATCCTCCAATCCAATAACTAGAACCTCTGTTTTGTCTTGATTAAGCTGGAGAAAGTTATGAGCCATCCACATCTTTGTCAGAAATACAGAAGTGCAGCAATTGGCTGGGAGTCATCACGAGACATGGAAATATTTGGCTGCATGTCATCCGCATAAATGTGGAAGCTTATTCCATGACTCCTGATGGTCCCGTCCAGATTAAAAAGTAAGGGGTCTAAGATAGACCCTTGAGGGTCACCATAGTTGGCCTCATGGATCTGAGAGGAGCAAGTATTCATGTTTACCAAGGACAAACCTCGCCCAGACAAAAACTCTGCCAATCACGGTTAGGACAAACTCCGCCCACATCTTTAACCCCACCAATCACGGTTAGGACAAACTCCACCCACACAACCAGAAACTCCCCTCATGTACTGCAGAGACCCCTGCTTGGCTCATGTACTGCAGAGACCCCTGCTTGGCTCATGTACTGCAGAGACCCCTGCTTGGCACCAAGTGCATCTTCACAATGCTGCACTCGTGCTTGTTCCGAATGTAAACAGGTTAAAAATATTTACAACCCTTTTTGCCAGATCATCAGTTTTCTCGCTCACCATCGGCACCTCCTCAAGTCTCTCAAAGTTGGACCTCGGCGACTGGATGCATTTGACCGTTACGACCACAATCATGAGAGCAAGGACGATGCTGAAGATGCAGATGATGGCCACCAGCCCGGGGTTTTGTGCCAAGCTGTTTCTCCCCCAGTCGGTGGAGAGAGCTGAAAGTCACCACACAAAAAAAATGAATAAGTTACCTTCTTGCTAGTTTTGTCTTGACAAAATGCATTTAAATAAATAATGAGAGGATTCTGGTGCAAACATGGACTTGGAGATAACTTAATGCATCAATAAATGGTAAATGTGACCAATCACATCAAAATGAGGATTAAGTCAAATTTGGTCAAAATGACCTAATCATATTTTCAGATTCCTGGCTTTAAAAGCTACATTTTGATACTTAAATCATCCTGATATCATTAGTAGATCCAGAGATGTTATTTAATTTGTCTTGTTGGTTACAATAATACATAAATATTTGGCTTAAATGCTAATTTTATGTCATTTTAAAAAAGAAACCTTAAATAGTAATTGAATATTGAGATTTCCCAGCTGGAAAGAAACAAAAATATTGGTAGCTCACAGGGAAAATCTCAAAAGTTTAAGGTGTTTTTCTTAAAATCATTTTGTTGTTGTTGTTGTTGCTAAAATGCTCAAAAAAGTGCTTCAAAAAATTTTCAGGATAATATTTCAGAAGTTCATTGATAACATTTTTTTTGTAATATTTTGACAAACTGTAATTTTTGCAAGTGTTTTAATCAAAACGCTATCTGCCTATTTCTCCACATACAACTTTTAGATTTAATCCTCGTTTTGATGTGATGGGTCACATATGTTCTTTGTTTAGATGTCCAAATGTGACCCTTCAGACCCTTCTAGTAGTCAGACCTGGACTGGTTGTGTTTGCTGTGGTACTCCCCGTGGCATTTTGAGATTCTTTCACAGTGGTACTCCCCGTGGCATTTTGTGATTCTGTCATTGACTGGATGGTTGTTTCCTGAGTCGTCTTCCCATTGGACGCCTGGCTGCTTGTAGTATTCACAACAGCAGTAGTGCTTGGGTTGGATCCCTCTGTTCTGGGTGTTGTCGGTGAAGCTGAAGTGACATGAGTGGTGTTCTGATGTGTCGTTGATGATATTGTTGAGGTTGATGATGATGAGGTTGATGATGATGATGAGGTTGTTTGAGCCAGGGGAGCGACTGTGCTGGTTTTCACGGTGGGCGATGTTACAAAGCTAGAGCTGAAGTGTGAAGTTGTGGTTGTCACTGGTTTTGAATTAGGTTCAGAGAATGTGGTATTTTCTGCAACAAAAAGTAAAAATAAAAGCATGAAAACAGAGAAACTCACTTTCATTGGGTTAGATGAGATCCGCTGAGGAAAAAATAAACTGTTGAAGCTGTGAATCACAAATTCTGTGGAAGGAAGTCGACGATCTCATCTTAAAACTGTTCCGCAGAGCCAACTGAGAAAAATGTCATGCCTTTTATGCTTTGAAAAGTACACAAATTAAAAAACACAACCTCCTTTAAAGAGAAGGAAGCGAACATGGAGCTTGAAAAATAAGAGCGTCTTTCTTTTAGCTTGGGATAAATGGTCAGAATTGATGTGATTGGATGAATGAATGGGAAAATCATAATTTGAAGCCAGTTCATGTTTTTAGATTTAGATTTTTTGCTCTTTTTTTAAATGTCAGCATTTTTTTTTTTGTCCAGCTGATGTTATGTGTGTTACATGTGTCTCTTGTAAATCAGAATCAGGTTTATTGGCCAAGTATGTTGACACACACAACGAATTTTGTTTCCGGCTGTTTGTGTCTTTGTAGTATTAACACTGTACAGATACTTTATATAAAAATGTACATAAATAAAAGTAAGTAAGTAAATAAAAATATAAATGAGACCTGGCTCAGTTTGTTTATTTTAAAAAGGAACCTCCATTAGTCCTCATCCTTCATGGGATTAAAAAAATACTTCGTAGTAAAACAAAAATTAAAACAAAACACACCACTTTCCCCCACATCTTATCAACCCATCACCAACAAAGTCATAAAATAAGTAATGGCAAGAAAAATACATTTCTAACACATTTCAATTAGCTTGGTACACAGCCACATTTCTGAGTGCATTTGTTTTACACAAAGGGAGTACTGCAGAAGCATATCAATGTGATTACTTGTCTAAATAAAAGTAAATAAAAATAAAAAAKCCCTCAATCAAAATGTTAATTTATGTGGAAGCGTTGGGAGTTTCACAGCACAAAGCTACATTGCACCACAAAGAAGGCTGAAAAACTCAAGTGAATTCTCTCAAAACAACATCCTGAGACACTAAAACTCAGCTAAAGTCAATTAAAAATGATGTTCTGGGTCTCGGAATACGAAATCATAGCTTTTGCTACATTTAGGCTACAGGATGTGATCAAACCCTCAGAGGAGCTGTAAATAACTGATTAAACTCTAATTTCATCTACTAATAAAAAGCTTCTTCATCAGACTTAAGTGGATGCAGATGTGATGGTCTTTTTTCCCCTCTCCTCATCATTTCAGGCTTGGATGAGGCGGTTGACTCCACAGCTCAAATAAACAATGACTTGTCTCTGGTGACAGAAAGCTGCCACCCTGCTGTCTCATTATGTTTACTGAGGAACAGAAACTGCAACATTCTCAATCACTATCAACGTTTAAAGGTCTTTGCTTTATGTCTCCACCAGATGTGACTTTTTCCAATCAGTTAAAATTAACTGAAATATGTTGCTTGACAGAAAAAAAATAAACAAATACAGGAAGATGAGTTTTTCACTGCTTAATGACTCTAAGCTTCAAACTTTAATTATTTTTACTGGTTTTTAGGACAGAAATTACAAAATGCTGCTTTAAGAGCAAAAACCACCTTAACCCTGTGAACGGCCCTCTGACAGCAGAGCTCTACCGGTTTGCATGAATTTGCATTTTTGCAGTACTTCCATTTAAAAGTTCAGTTCGGCCCTCGGCTCTTTTAAACTGCAGGAGTTTAAGCAGGAGAAAAGTGTGAAATGTTCACTCACCGCTGCASGCTGCCACTGTTAGGAGGGAAACCAGGACGGTCAGGTGCATCATGGCTGCAGGCATGTTGAGAGAGGAAACATCTGACAGTCATATCAAAAAAACCACTCACATCCTTGACAGCAGGATGTGTTCAGAGCTCAGGGAGGAGGAAGAGGAGGAGGCTCAGAAACATGAGCCGCTGCTTTTCAAATCTGTCAGGCTGATTAAATATTTGAACAAAGTGTTTGCTCTGCTGACGACACCAGATCTGTTTTAACTTCTGAGCAGGGTTTCTACAGATCAGAAGGACTTCCTGTCAGGGCCTGTTGGGTTTTGTGATTTAATTGCATTTGAAAGCTGAAGTTTTACTGTTATCGTTTTTATTTCTATTTTCCCCACTTTTAATATGCTTTTATTTTGTAAGGCTCGTTTCTTTGTCCCTTCCTCAGCCGTCACACCTGCTCTCTGTTTGCTAATTGCCACACACCTGTTGCTCGTTTGCTCTGTTCCACGTCATTTGAACTGTGTCTGTGGTTCTCAAAAGCTGGGGTCGGGGCCCCTCTGTGGGTCATGAAACATCAAGCGAGGGGCCCCAGATGATTTCCATTCATTCATTCAAATGCAAATAAATTCACTGAATATTTTCACAATTACTGAAGGGAATAAAAGTACTAATAGTGATTCACAGTTTGCATACATAAACCAGTCCATTGGGGATCACAAGCTCCAGCAACTGTTATTTTGTGGGCTGGAAGCTGAAAAGTTTCAATTATATATAGTGTTTTTACTTCAGCKTATTTAGGGTTGTTAAAATAATAAATCTAATGTTTTTACATGTTATAAAAACACTCATATTAATGTGATTTCCTGCAGCACTTCACATGAAATTTAATAAAAAAATAAATAAAGTTGAAACACTTATTTATACAAAAATCAAATTTTTATTTTCCCATCAACTCAAGTTTTATATTTTTATCGCCACCCATCAGCAGCACAGGAAGTAGTGTTTTTAGTCAGCAAAACATCTATTCAACCACTAGACAGATTTTAACGTTACTCCCAGGACATCAACAGATATAAATCAACAAGATGGCCGCCACAGCTAATCAATGCTAACAAATATTAAAACCGTCTTTCAGTTAATATTCAACGTTTCCACCTCATCTGTGACAGTGTAAATCATCTAATACCATCTATTTAAAAAGTTAAAATGTTTAAGGTTTAGGAAATAAAAGATTAAATTTTTTTCATATCTTTATTTATAAAACCTCTTTAAAGAGTTGTTTCATAATTACAAATGATAAAATTTAACAAAAATAAAAGCAACGTTTAAAATAAATCATATTACAGACTTTTATAACAGAATTCCTTCAAGCTTTTTTTTAAAAATACATACAGTATCCAGCATTTATCTTGGGAGCGGTTTTATGTAGTAGAAACTGATTAAAACATAGATGATTTGATAATTTTTAATGCTTCACAGATTTCCACTTATTTTCTCACATCATAAAAAAATAACTTAAAACAAATACTGCAACAAAAAAAAGTCCATCATACAAAATAAATGTTAAAAATGATTTTACAGTTTCTGTGTCAAACAGCCAGATGGTTATACAATTGATTATTTTTTTATCGTCAGACTCAAACTTTAAATGATAAACAGAGTTGGTACAGATCATTTGGCARGATAACACGTGATTCTGGACCATATATTAAGCCAAAGTTCAAACAGATTAACACAGTTTAATATTAATATCAGTTCTGATTGTTAAACAACACACAGTGAGTTTTAGGAGACAAACATTTGGAATTTTTTTAAAAGTACAACTGGGAATTTTCCTCTAAAGCAAGGAGCAGCTGCGGCAGTGAAACAGCTTTTCATCCCTGAAAGTTTCAACAGGGACTAAATGAATCAGGCATGAAGGGGAAAAAAGGTGCACCTGTACTTCAAATGAAACACACAACGCCTCAGATACATAAATACTACCTTTTTCAAAGAAGAGAAGTTAAAGTCCAGAAAAAAAAAAACAAGTATATTTGATGTGATTAACTTCATAGATGATGAACTTTAAACTTTCTCCTCCAGAGGTTCAGATGCTGGCAGCTCTTTCTGCTGTGAATCTAAAACAGTGACGTTTGGAGCTGTTTCAGTTTGTTGGTCTTCATCCTGTCCACAACAAAACAAAACAAAACAAAACAAAAACAGGTTCATAACTTAAGCCGAATTTAAAGAAAGTCTTCTTAAAGTCACTTTCCTTAAACAAGGAAATAGAAATGTTGAAAAAGACTAAAATATTGTTTAAAAAAATAAAATCAATGTTTCTTTAACATTCCAGCATCACAACATGTTTTTATCTTACTTTAAATAAACACACATTAAAAAAAATCAGCTTTTATTTAAAAATGTTTCAATTCATAATTTCAGACTTACTCTGTGTTTGAGATAGGAGAGGTAGGTGTCCCAGCCTAGGGTGACAAAATTGATGTACACGACACGAAATTTGGGCGACAGGAAGTAGAAGTTGATCATCTGGGCAGCGGGCCAAACGCACCAGTCCATCTGCAGGCAGGAGCACAAACACGTGAACTCCAACCGATTTAAAGACGCAGCAGCAGATATGACTTTTAGATCAGAAAACAAATCCTTACAGCTCATCTAACRTGCAAACATCAGCTGTTTCCTACACGGTTTTTACACTTAGAATAAGAGTAAGCAATGACTGGAGTTTGTATTCACTGCTAAAAATGCATCATGAATGCTAAACGCTGAAAGAATTTTACAGTAAAGATGTTAAAATATTTTAGAATTTGTTGTAAAATTGAGAAAAAAGCTTAAATTAGCAAAAAGTAGCTGAAAAGGCTGAATTTAGTACAAAGAAGAAACAGCACATTTGTTGAATTAAGCAGTAATATAAGCAGATAACTGATCACAAAAAGGTGAATTTAGCTGAAACAAGCAAAAAAAGTGTCTTAATTTGCCGAAAACAGCTGGAAAAAGCAGAATATGCTTAAATTAGCAGAAAAGTAGCTGAAAAAGCTGAATCTAGTACAAAGAACTAGTACATTTGCTGAATTAAGCAGTAAAGTAGCTGAACTGATCACAAAAAGGTGAATTTAACTGTGCTTTTTCAACAATTTATATATGAAAAGGTCCAACTCGTTCACGCTATGACTTTTGGTATTTCAGCGTTATTTATACTTTTTCAGCTACTTTTTGGACAATTTTTTCCTATTAAAAATGAATGAAGCTGTCTTTWACATCCTGGAAACCCCTTAAAATGTTTATAAATCATACATTTTGTTCTGGTTCTGATGTTTTTTTAACTTCTTTTTCCAGCTTCAGCTTCCTTTGGCTTCTTATTGAGCTGATTTTAGCTTTTGTCTGCTTTTCTAGCCATCATTCTGGCATTTTCTGCTAATTTCCTGCTAATTTTAACTTATTTTTATGCTACTTCAAACTTTTCTTGTGTTCCTTTCATTTTCTTGCTGCCCTTTTCGGCTTTTTTTTTTTTTTTGCCCCTTTCAGCTACATTTTGAGCCATTTTACTTTTCTGCATTTTTCAGCTATTCTCTGCCCCTGGGAGCTTTTGTTTTTGTTTGGATTCTTCAGCAAATTTCCGCACTCAATTCAGCTAATTTTGGGTTCCAACTCAATGTTAAAGTAAGCAAGCATTAAGCAAGCATTAAGCAAGCAATAGTTCAGTGTTTAAAACTATTTCAGCTTTTCAACTAAATTATTCAGCAATAAGCGTTAACGCTGCATTTGTGCTGGAAATGCAGTTTCTCCAGTTTCGTTTATAGTGGTATTTTTATGTGTTTGTGTTAAAGAAGACTAAATAGGACTTTGGGGAGCGGATCACGTCCGACACTCAGTAAACCTACGTGACTGACTGAGGTCTTCCCAGATCTGACACAAACTCCCAGATTTCCCTGGAGAGTCAAGAAACCCCACAAGGAACTGTTTAATGGTTGTCCACCAGTTTGCTTCTTCTTCCCTTAAGTTTTGTTTTTAAACACTATTTCTACTGAACTGCAACCATAAGCCACGTGATTATACCTCACATTTAAGACAAAGTTGGAAACATGACAGCTGCTTGGGACTTTTACACCATACTTTACAGATACAATGAAGTGTTTTTACAGGTTTTGTKATTTTTAGGAGAAAGGAGCTTTAAACTAAAGCATTAAATGCTAAAAACAGTCATAATGAAAAGCTCCAACTCTGTTGTGTTTTCTATATTTTTAAATTTCTTTACGTGAAAACTGCGTCATCCCTGCTCCTGGGTCAAGGAATATCTACACAAACATTTTTGGAATGTGAACWAATTATTTCTCTCAAGTTCTTTAAAGAAAAAAACAAAAGAAAAAGCAGTAGTGCACACTCACTTTTTTACTCCCCCGTGTTCATAAAGACACGGGGGAGTAAAATATAAATGAGAGATAAGGGAATGTCGCTCCAGTCACAATATGTGAACAGTAACTTGTGAGTGAGTTTGATTTGACCCGCGGGTCGGACCCTGACGGGAAAACACTCGCCTTGTAGAACTCCCAGAACTTCTCTCGAAACTCTGCCCATCCTTCAGATAAAGTGCGTCCCTCCATGAGATCCATGCCTGCGATAAGKAGAGTCGTCTGTGAAAACGTGCGTCAGCGCCAAGTGTCATTAAAAACCAACGGCAGATAAAAGCCCGAAACAATGAGAGCGCTGAACTTTTACACACCATTCTCAGCACGTCTGTAAAAACCTAAAGTATTTATCACAAAACGCCCTTTGAACTCTATATACTTCTGATGTACAGTGTGCTTTATCACCGCCATCATTTTACACACAACCTTTGACTCTGGACATGTTTTCTTATCCGCGTCATCAAGACACGGTTTCTTTGTTCACACCCAGACAAACCTTAAGGTGTGTGTGTGTGTGTGTGTGTGTGTGTATAACAGTAAGAACAATAAACCTCTACATACCTAAGAAATACCATATTCCCAGCGTCGGTGAGGCGACTATCTGGTCCACCAGGACTTTTTTGCTCAGTGTCTTCAAAGCTCTTCCCACATAAACTCTGTCCAGCCAAAGGTACCAGTAGTGCAGCAGGGGACCCATGGAGCTGCCGACCACAAACATGCGACCTTCAGGGGGTGGAGGGCGTTAATAAATAGGAGTTAAATACGAGACAAAAAAAAGCATAAATGCATTGATTGAAGCACATTTTAACCTTTAATTACCAGAAATCAGTAACGGTTAGTGATGGCCACATGAAGCCCCGTGAAACCTTGAAGCTTTCATTCCAACTGATTAAAAAAAAGGTTAATTTCTTGAAGCTTCATGTGCTCATAACTCCCTCTGCTGGTCAAAACGTTTGTCCTTTTATCCACTTGGCCGTCTTCAATAAAATGAAAGTACTTTGGTCTATTTTGTGGTTTATTCTTGTTATTTTGGATAAATTGGTGTTTTTAAAAT